TGTAGGCATCTGAATCCTCTCCCAGATGGGTTTCAGCTGAGCAGGGTAGTCTCACCAACACCTCCAAGTTGTTGGCTTTCACAGGATCAGCAGTTGGGCCCTGGGTTGTCCCCAGACAGAGTGCCCAGACTCGCCCTGTTTCCGACCCACAGAGATAGCCTCTTCCCCAGGTGTTGGGGACAGGGCCATCCCCGCTCCAAGCTGCTTCTGCCCCTCTCCATCCCCGGGCCTGTCCACCCCTGTGGCCCGCCGCCACAGGCCCACCCGTGTCCACTTGTCTCCGCCGCCGGGCCTGTATGTCCCCGTCATCTGCCACCGGGTCTGTCTGCCCCCGCGCGGGCCGCCAACGGGCCTGTATGTCTCTGCTGGCTGCCGCCGCGTGCCTACCCACCTCTGCTTGTCACTGCCGCCAGGCCCATCCACCTCTGCAGGCCGCCACCAGGCCTGTATGTCTCTGCTGGTTGCCGCTGGGCCTGTATGTCCCTGTTGGCCGCTGCCACCGGGCCCGTCCACTTCCGCAGGTCGCCGACCTGCGTCCGCCTGTCTCCCCCACATGGCCTGTCTACTTCTGTGGGCCGCCGCTGGGCCTGAATGTCTCTGTTGGCCACCACCGCCGGGCCCGTCCACCTCCATCTGCTTATTTCTGCTGCCGGGCCCGTCCACCTCCGCGGGCTGCTGCCACAGGCCTACCTGCGTCTGCTTGTCTCTGCCATCTTCTTTTTGTGTAATTGTTTTAAAGTATAACTACTGTCAGTAAACTAAAATTACTGAACAGGTAAAAATACATTCTACACAAATCTGCCAACATAATTTCTGTCCTGAAATCTACATAAAAATGAATCTTGTGGTAGCAAGTATATGTAATCCTAGCATGCCTTCACAAATAGTTGTTGTGTGATATTTTGATCATGTTCTGACAAATAAAGCTTGCTTGGAGTTAGAGGATAGACCTAGCCATTAGCTAACTAAAATTAACCACAGAGGTTTTGGATGACTGAGGACAGAGAGGACAGAAAGTACTAAGGCTGTACAGAGAGAGATCCAGGCCCTTTTGGAGGAAGGAATGGAGCAGGTAGGAGAGGACTGGCGGCTTCTCTGCTTCTCTGATCCTTCATGTTCTTACCCTGATATCTGACTTCCAATTTTTTATTATAAAGAATTATTAGATAAACCCTTCACATAGGGAAAGTTTAGAAGGGAAGTGTGCCCAAATCATGGGGTAACTATATTTGTTCTGTACAGCAGAGCAGCAGATACAAGAGAGATCCTACCTCAGCAGAGGAAAGGAGAGATCCAGCTCCTGAAGTGTTATTTTCTCACTGCCATGCTGTGACCTGGTATGTATGTGAGACCTGAAGTACTGTCCCACCTACTCACAAAGTTCATCAGTTTCTTTTCTCTGTGTCCTGCAGAATTTCTGACAGTTTCTCCTGTGAAACAGAAATATGAAGGACCATCTCACCTTGTTTTGGCAAAGTGCAGTGGTCATTTTTCTATGGGCCCTGCATGTCCACTTTGCCAAGCAGTCCATGAAAAAGCAGTATCATGTCCAAATGGATAGCCTTTTCCACACTGTAAGCCAACTTCATAATGAGTTTCTTTGATGCCTATCATCCTCTTTGAAGTAACTGGTACTACCATGAGCAGATGTGTCTCACTGTCCAGAATGTCTATGTTTTTAAAACATTTTAAATGCCATAATCTGTAGGTCTTTGAAGTGTTTGAAGATTACCTATCTATCTGAAATATATCTCTGCCTATCTAGAAAACCTAATTAACATGACTAAAAGTCTGATTAATATAGGTGACTAATAATTTTACTTTTAACTATATATTACATTTTTAATTGAGTTGTGTAAATGCAATACCTTAAACAAGAGTACAAATATACATACAATATAATAAATCTAACTCTAAATTTGTATCAATAAAATACATACCAATATAAAATATTTTGTGATTAATGCTTGTCTTTTGAATTAAAGTAGATTTAATAATCTACTCTTATCCCCATCATTTCTAGATCATATCCTTTTTCTTTTTGAGAAAGAGATTGACTATTACCAATAACAACTTACAACCACCCCCCCTTAAATGAAAACAAACATTCATAAAAAATATTTTGGGAATTTGGGCATAGTTCTCTACACTAATTCCTGCTGCTTGTCCTGCTGGTAATCTCATGGGGACCCTGAGAAAATTTAGAATTATGGTCATGTCCTGACTGGGGTATTTTGTGTTGCTAATTCATCTCAGCTAGCAGCCTTGAAGCTTTTTTTGGATACAGAACTCAGGAAACTTTAACAGTGGTTTATTAAAGCGTAAGATCACATGGAACATCTTTTTTATTGGTTTATGATCCACTTGTGAAAATATATAAACTTTTAAAGGTAACATATATATCAGTATCAATATAAATTCAGACTGTGTATTTTATATAAGTCAGCCAAAGATAAATTTTTGTTTTATGTTTGAGCAGGTAAAACACATGTTGTGTGTCTTGTAGTCACTTTAGGTTTAGTATTTTAATGTATGTAGTTATCATTTCAGGTGGTCAAACTTGATTAAATTTGATTTTTCTTAACCTGGGACGAATCCATAGCCTCTTATTTTTTTTTTTTTTGAAAATGAA